ATGGGTAGGTGAAAATTCACGTGAAGTAGAGAAAGGATTTCCTCTTTTATTGGGAATAGGCTTTTACAATATTATCACCCGTATAAAAACACACAAACACATACACACACTTGTGCGGTTTTATTATTTTCTTTCTTTGTATTTAGGCTGCCAGTGCAAGACAGGAACTCATAAGTTCTGGAGGCAAGCTTTGGAAAAAGTACTTTAAAATACAGTACAAATTGATGATGTCTAGGCAAAAATGTTTAGCCTGTTAAATGAAGGCACCAGTAAATAAAACTGTGCTTACAACTTATGGCTATGCAAGATTGTGTGTGTGTGTGTGGGCGAGTCCACAGGAAAGGGACTCGGAAAACAAAAACATTTGATTGATTAAGATGGTTGAACTGCCTCACCTCATGCCTGGAATCTAATAGGCGTTTAATAAACATTTGTTCAATGAGTGAAAAGACTTGATTTTCCATAAATTATAATTGTGAATATTTATCTCCCTCTGTTAGGCAATTATTCAGAGATAATGCTGCCTCTTTTTAACATAATTTCGTTGTTTTACTTTTTTCCCTCTCATCTAATGCATTCCTATCTTCACCAAAGAAATAGGTATAAACAGAAAAGCTTGTGGAGTCTAAAAATACAGGGTTTAATAGACAGAAATGATAAAGGTCACTCATGCATTTCTGATACCTAAAGCCAGAAGAAGCACATTTGTAGATAAGTAGACGACTTGATTTTTTATTAATTGGCCAACTGTCTTGGAAAAAATAAGCCCTTGGGGTCTCAGTTGAGAGATCTGTGAAGGGGGTTAGACAGGTGACCTCCTGCAGGCCTTTCTGTTACTTTACATGTTAAATGTCAACATAAAACTTGCTAAGTCAATTAAGACAGATGAGCCCTCCAAAGAATATTTGAAAACTTTATTTTCTCAAATAAGCACCAACACAGATCAGAAATATGACAGAAACAATGCACTTTTCTCTAATACTGAGTCACTATGTACAAATACAGGGAAAGGTGAAGACAAATTATTTGAAAATAATTCTTTGTAATTGAAGCAAAGTGACCTGAAAAATGCGAACAACAAAAAGATAAACCAAAGAAAGAAAGTAACAAAACCCAAACCCAACAAATACAGTCTGTAAACACAAACATAACTTCTGTATTGAAAGATGGTCTCTGCAGCTTGGAGAAGGGAACCAACTCTCAGCTTTGCCAAAATGTTACACGAAAACATATGGGCAGATAGAATTTGGTAAAATGAGAATAGCTTGTTTCTTCTTGGCTTTACCTTTCACTACTGGCAGATTTGACTGTACTTAATTTTAAAAATCAAACATTTCTTTCCTCTACCTAGAACACTAGCATTTTTTCTCATTTGAGGCAGACTCTTTTTTAAAATATGTTAAGTTGATCGTGTTCAAGATTTGATTTCTCAGCCTCTTACTGAAACTGAGGCAATACCTCCTTTAAAAAAAAGCTGTTTACCAACAAAGTACATATATTATTTTATTAATGTTCTTTCAACCCAAACCGGTCAATGTTTCACATGATGTGGCTCCTTACAACAACTGGAGCCTTGGGATATGTGACAAACACACATCTCAGAAACACCGATTTAACTCCGCTCGATCGTCACAAACAACAGATTTTCTTTACAGTCTGTAAAAGTTGAGCACACGAAGAATGAAAAAGGAACAAACCGGCAACAGTTCCATGCTCAGGAAAACAAAATCCTCGTGGTTTGTGCTGTTGGTCCACTCAGAAACAAAACCGCCACTAGAGAGAAAGTGAAGAAAAACCTATGTGCCCAAGGTGTAAACTGTAGGTATAGTGTCCCCAACAAAAAAGAAAACAGGAGGCACAATCCAAAGTGCTTTTTACACACGCACACGCACACGCACACGCACACACTCCAATTTGCTGAAAATTCTTCCAACAAGAGCAATCACTCTAGGTTGTTACTAAATTTATTTGATTTTATTTATTCTTTTCTAGCCGATACTTGTGCAAGAAAATTTCAATTCTCAACCTGGTAATGTACTATTTCAGAGTCTGTTCTACTGGGGAAAAAATACAAAGAAGCATTTATTACCTCCATCCAGACTAAAGGGATGAGATCTTTTTTTAAAAAAAGAGTACATTGGTGATCACTGTTTCCCTTAAAATATACTTCAAGAAATGCAGAGGAAACCATAGAATTTAAAAATGAAAATAAAAAGTGCTCTCAGGGGATCTGAGAAAACAGCACCAAATATATTATTTAAAAAATTAAATATTATTTACAAAAGTATATTTCACAAGCAACTGTTTCTTTTATATACATCCACTTGAAAATCTTTTTATAAAGGGGACACCTCTTTTTCACACACTGATCCACCAGTAAAGATTTACTTTACCCTATTTCCATGATCTTACTGTCACAGGAGTTGGGGCAGCATTCAAGTCAGGCCCAGCTGACAATCTATGAGCATCAATTTTGGCTGTATTTGATTCATGTCAAATCAGCCCATCAGCAGCCTGAGACTAAAACCAAGGGTGGGATAGGGGGTGGGGTGTATTCCAGAGCCATCGAGGCCTTATGACTGGGGTGGCACGGGGGAGATGGAACTAGAGAGTCTGCAGCTGGACTTCAGTTGACAATGAAGGCAGCTGCTGGCTGAGGTATCGAACTCCATGCCTTTCCCTTTCTCACTTCCCCCTTTCCTTTCTCCTACTCCCTGCACCCCACCCCAAGTTTTACATCGAACTCCAATTCCCTGAACCTACCAAGGGTAAATGGATGAGGTCTTTGGTTATGCTCTGAGTCAATAATTTGGTGAGGAAATTAAAGAATGAACTGACTGAGGCCATGAGTTGATGGGTCTCCATCGCTCAGCTGAAGTCTCTCCAATACTACTAGACATTAGACAGACAAGCCATTTATGGAGCTAAAGTTATATATAAGGAGCACTTTTGGTTTCATTGACACAAATGGAAAGCCTAATGAGTTGGGTTTTTATTTTCCCATAGTTATGGAAAAACCAACATTTTATATTCAGATCTCTCGTACCAAGTATGGCACCATGCACCCACTGGATGCTCAATGGATAGTAATTGAAAAAAAAAAACCCCCAAAAAACAAAAAACCAGGGTCTCATAGGAGCCCGCTCTGATCCATGCAACAGTCAGAGGCCTCGCCCCCAAGGAAGAGCAGTGACACATTGGTCTCCTCTGCCCATTGACAATTTTAGGGCACCCCATGTCTGGTTTCTATGTCGCCACGTTTCATTTTTAGTTTTGAAGACAAAACACCTACCCGTGTTTGACCCCCATTTTCTTTTTATGGGAAGGAGTATCAATAGCCGGGATATTCCCTGAGCAAAGGGGTAATCAAAATCCATAAATGAAAGCCACTACGTTCAGTGGGGACAGAGAGGAGAAATCTATAATTTCTGTGCTGGCGAGCCAGCTTAGGAATGTGAAAGTTGAAACGTTTTTTATTGAGCTCTTGGGCCTGGGAATGCCTGGGAGGCAGAGCAACTGTTTCTCTGGGAGCAGAAATCAAAAGCTTTTTCCGAACCTCGGTCTGATTTTTAGTAATGTGGGGAGAACAGCTTAATCTCTGAAGCCCCAGAAGATGTGAGCAAGAAACCATGGGGCACAAAATTCAATTTCTAAG